CAAACTTGTTTTTTTTAACAGAACACCCTGTATTTTATTTTAAATTTAAAATCTGCTTCACTTTCACATCACAACAATGTAAAGCTTTATTATATTATACCAGGTATTTAAAAAGTTATAACCAATATTACCTGAAAATCGTATCAAGTTTAACTCCCTGTATAATTAAAAACGAATACAGAAACATTGATCTATTGCAACCATAGCTTTTTAATAATAATTGTTAAAAATTATAAAACATATTCAATTTTATAATATTAGTTAAATCAAACACGGGGTAAGTCAAAATGCAAGTACATTATTTTCTTGGTAATTTTGAATAGAACACCCTGTATTTTATATTACTATCGAAAAGTACTAATATCGTAAATTTTATCGTAAATATCGTAAATTTTATAAATTACCCCCTTTACCTAAAGTTATCAGTTTTCTATATATTTTTATTTTTCCTTGAAAGTATTAATTTGGTAGATATTTTAACGTTTACAAATATTTAGTGTGAGTTGGCCATGATTGGTTTGTCAGAAACTGACAGTTTGACATTAAAATTTATTAAATCAGTGTTGGGGTACACCGTAAATTAGCAACAATTATTATTTGGTAATTCAGTAATTAATTTAATTTAAATTAGCAATAATGAATTTTTCTACTGTTGATGAAATGGTAGATATGATCTGGATATTGGGGGAATGCAATAAAAATTCATTACTATAAGCTAGAATTTATCAAGAACGGTTTCCAGATATGCGGCAAGCTAGACAAGATACATTTGAAAAATTGAAAGATCGATTTAAACGCACTGGTTCAGTGAATTATGAAAAACGTGAACGAACAAAAACTAGAGTGACAGAGGAAAACGAAATGAGTGTGTTGATGGCAGTTACAGAAAACCCACACACAAGTATAAGGACTATTTCCAATGTACAAGAACTTAGTTACTACTCAGTTCAAAACATTCTATCTAAAAACAAGATACACCCTTATCATATTCAAAAGCACCAAGAATTAATGATGAATTCCAGAAACGAATAGTATTTTGAGAATGGGCCTTAGAAAAAATTAATGAGCAGAGAGATTTTTTTGATTATGTCCTATTTGGTGATGAAGCTACATTCCATCGAAACGGTTCTGTTAATAGGCATAACTTTCTCTACTGCTCAACAAGTAATCCATACCACATAGTAACACATAGTCAAACAAGATGGTCTCCAAATGTGTGGGGAGGTATCGTCGGTAACCATGTAGTAGGACCATATTTTTTTGATGATAATTAAAATGGTGAGATTTATTTAGATTTTATCGTAAATCAGTTATTGATAAACTTTGAAGTCTTTCAAAGACCGCTTTCAAGTATGCGTAGATGTTTTGAGAGGTCATTTTGAACACCTTACTTAAGTAATATAAGTTAAAATTACTGTTGTTTTTTATTTTTCTATGTGTTGTTATTTTTTTTTTTATTTTCCGTCGGTTATTTTTTATAAATTTGATTTGAAATAAATTGTTTTCTTTTCTGTGTCGTTATTTCGTTACTAAATTATTAACAATAGTGTCAAACTGTCAGTTACTGTCAAATCAATCATGGGTAACTCACAATAATTATTGGTAAACGTTAAAATATCTACCAAATTAATACTTTGATGAAAAAATAAAAATAGCTAGAAAACTGATAACTTTAGGTATAGAGTACTTCATATTGAAGTACGATATTAGTACTTTTCGATAGTGATATAAAATACAATTAAAATTAACAAGAAAATAATGTACTTGCATTTTGACTTACCCTGTATTTGATTTAACAGATATTACGAAAACGAATATGTTTTACAATTTTTAACAATTATTAAAAAACTATGGTTGCAGTAGATCAATTTTCCTTTAAAATTCCACGAGGAAACTAAGTTCCTGTAGCTGGCTGTATACCATATATCACAAAAAAATTTTGTTTAAAATCCTTTATAAAAGTTATATAAAAATGCCTCAAACGGGCTATCACAAACACATTGCAAAACGTTTTCGGATTAAACAATCCATCATCAATGCAAACGGTTGTACATGCTAGTAGCCAAAATATATGGGTAAAAACCCTTTAAATGTTTTAAATTTGAAGTTGTTTTACATTATTAGTATTTATAATTTGTGATGGTTAAGTTACCGTTGGATAGGTAACATGGCGGCGTATGACTCTACATGAGTCCTTTACTCTTTTTTTTCCTTTACTCTTTTTTAATTACACAGGAATTTAAACTTAGACGATTTTCAAGTAATATTGGTTATAGCTTTTTAAATACCTGGTATAACATAATAAAACTTTACATTGTTGTGATGTGGAATTGAAGCAAATTTTAAATTTAAAATAAAATACAGGGTGTTCTATTTAAAAAAAACATAAGTTTGGTCTGCCACCATCTTATGGAACACCCTGTAAGATTGTAACTAATTTTAAAATGTGGAGTTGAAAGATGCCTACAATTTTTGTTAATTACTTTTTTTTGTAATTTTTACTATAACCGATCTACTGAGCTCACACTAATCAATCACCCTGTATATGTAGCGTAAAATAAAAGGTCCGTACCATAAATATATAAAATAATTATCTGTACTAAACCTAACTCAAAAATATGATGTAGGTGAACATGCCAATACCAGGAACAATACGGCGATGTGCTTTGTGTAGCACTAAAAAAATTTAGAGAGAACAAAAATTTAATGTAAATAATGTAATGTAGGACTATGTTTGTCATGTTTCGAACCATTTCATAAAAAATAAATATATTTTGTTTTTAAAATAATCATCATCATTTTGGCTTTACAACCCTGTGTAGGTCCTAACCTCCCCAAGAATTTTTTTCCAGTCGTCCCTATCCATCGCCTTCCTCCGCCAAGCACGTATTTCCATGTTTCTCATATCTTGGTCTATGTTATCTAGAAATCTTGTTCTGGGTCTTCCTCTTCTTCTTTGACCAATAGGTCTATCAAGGAGCGTTTATCTAGCTGGGTCGGTTTGCTCCATCCGCATTACATGGCCTACCCACCTCAGATGTCCCATCTTAATGTGTTTTACGATATCTGGTTCCTGGTATATTCTATAGAGTTCGAAGTTGTATCGTCTTCTCCAGACACCATTTTCATTTACCACTCCTAGATTCGCGTAGTATTTTTTTTTTTTTTCGAAACATCCTAACATGTTTTTATTGCTTTTTGTTAAAGTTCAGGTTTCTGAACCATATGTTAGGACTGGGCGTATTATTGTTTTGTAGAGTTTTACTTTTGTATTTCTTGATATAACTGTAGATTTAAAAAGGAGATTTTTATAAAACGTCGTTTTCTATAAAAAGTGGCCGTAGTATTTGTGGTTGCGTACCTATGTTCATGTATTTTGTTTTATTGGTGTTTATTATTAAACCCATTTTTGTAGCCCCTTCCTTTAGTGCTACGTACGCCTCTTGTGCTGCGTTTTCCGTTCTCCCAACAATATTGATATCATCAGCATGTCGTCGCCGCATGAGTGTATCTATGGTATTAAAACACTTTGCTATATAGAGTATAAGCTCTACCTAGGGGCTACCTAAGAAATAAAACAAACTGATTTATGAAGAAAGACTACCTACAGAGTCTTGAGGTTTTGCTGTAGCAAATGGAGCAGAGCCCCGACCGGCGACCTCCTAGAGCGTACGTGCTCTAGGTAAGGCCGTGGTCTCTCGGCCAATGGAAAATTAAGGAATGTGTAAAAGGCGGGGCTATGCGCATCAGGGAGCGTATTCGTTCGTCACTAAATGCACCAGGATGACAAGCATATGCTATGATTTGCACAGATTTGTTATACCGGGTGGTGAATCGCTAAACGGGCCATAGGAAATTCAATGGGAAATTCTAAATTGTTGAGTTCCTGCTTCCCTAATTATTTTACATTGAAAGTCATAATAAACTATTTGTAGAGGACTGAATTATGTATTAAAAACAAATGTTAAAATTGTTCTACGAACTAAATGTATTGCAAAATTTTGTAAAAACGTCGCCTGAAAAATTCCATTTTTCAGGCGACCCTTTAAAGTCAGGCCACACGAGGTACAAGAATGTGTATGACATGTTGCGTTTGGTCATATTGATGATTCTGATATTTGACAATATTTGAATTGTCAATCTTTTTATTTTGTTATTAAATTAAACACAAATACTAAAATAGGCAAATTTTCACAAATACTACTACTACTAATGAACAATAAATAGTACTTTGTAAACAATAAATTCTATTGTTTACATATTAATAAAATTGATGAAATGTATTTAGTTCATGAAAAATTGCTATAATGTACTCAGGTAATACTGCGAGCACTGCCAGATCTGTATTTAACACAAGATATAATACAATCCAATTCCAGGTTATACAACAATTCAAATAATTTCAATATAGTTTTACTGTGATCTTTCCTAATAATAATTTATGATAATTTCTAAACACAAAACTATAACAAATGTTCAAACAATAAGCCATTTTGTACAAAACAGTATCCCACTTGATTGTAAAATTCTCGTCTTAACCTTAAGCCAGCATGCGTGACGTTATTTTTGCACACTCTTCAATAATTCGCATTTAATGCTTCAATATCCGTAAATTTATTATCGCTGAATAAAACATTTTTATTCTGGCAACTTTCTCCTCAACTGAATACATTTTTTAATCAACTATATTGTTTTTTAAACAATAAATTACAAAATAAAAATTTTGGCAATTCAAATATTGTCAAATATCAGAACATAAATATGACCAAACGCAACATGTCATACACATTCTTGTACCTCGTGTGGCCTGACTTTAAGGGGTCGCCTGAAAAATGGATTATATTTTTACAAAATTTTGGAATACGTTTAAATCGTAGAACAATTTTAACATTTGTTTTTAATACATATTTCAGTCTTCTACAAATAGTTTCCTATGACTTTTGATGTAAATTAATTAGGGAAGCAGGAATTAAACAATTTAGAATTTCCCATTGAATTTCCTATGGCCCGTTTGACGATTCACCACCCTGTATATTGAACCGGTAGTTGTGATTTGTGACGTACGTATTACTTTTTCCATAGCTAGATTGAATTGTTTTTAAAATAAATGGTCCTTTATTGATACAATCCAACATTTCTTTCACTTCAAGTACATAAACAGTCTGTGGTTCCAAATCGGACCACCCCTAAATCATAACTAAATCAAGAATAATTTTTTTAAGAGCGTGGGCGCAAAATTTTGGGCCAATGCTTTTTAAATGCAGTCATTTTTTCGAATCCTGAAAAAACTAATAAATATTTTTAAAAAGTTTAAATGCAGAATGAAAGAATACATTATTACCAAGGGCCGAAAGACCCTGAAAACTTCTATAATGTTTATTTTAATAAGTTAGAGGGGTGAAAAAAGAGAAAATTTAGTGTAATTTTTAATTTCAAATATCTCATTCAAAAAAAGTTTTTGTTTATTCTAAGGGACTTTCGGCCCGCGTTAATTTTGTAATCTTTTATTCTGCCTTTAAATTTTTTAAAAATATTTGTTAGTTTTCTCAGGATTCGAAAAAAATGAATGCATTTAAAAAGCATTGGCCCGAAATTTTGCGCCTACGCTCTTAAATAATGTTGTTTCCAAAGGTATCCTTAAGTCATCAAATAGATCGTTGATTTTGACCCGTTAAAGGGTCAAAATCAAGTTATTTGGTATGGATTACTAAGGGGTATTAGATTAGTTGCGGGTTATATTACATTTTTTTTACACAATCAAATACGTTATATACATTAATAAATCCTCACCTCCTTCGTTTCTAACTTTGCGTTAAAGCTATCCAGATTTCTTATGGTCATTGTTATCAAACATTTGTACAATTTCTCTTCCCAATAACTATAATATGGTTCCATGACCGGTGAACGTCCACTATTTGTATTTAATACCATGGTTTCTAGCTTTATGAGAATAGGTGTAAACGAATCGTATATGTTCATTAATTTTGACATTGTTTCTGTGCGTTTATCATACATCGTAGTAAAGAAATCTTTACAAAATGGACGATCAAGTTCCTCTGGTAACTAAAATAAATAAATTTATTAAATAAATATATTTTTGTTTTTTCACTACGTTAACAGAAACTATTAGATACATTTACTACATGTATAATTAAGACCACGGTTCTTTACCCTTACGTCATTAATATCTGGCGAGACAAAACACATAGGGTCAAGTGGTGCAAAAACGAGACGATTTTTTTGGCTTGGGTTTACAAATTTATAGTCTCTAATGAAATAGGTTGAGGAGGGGAGAACTATTTGTCTCAAGTTTGTCATTCAGAATTATATCTGTGTTTTTTAATTTGTTGATTTCCATAGATTCTAACAAAGATAGCTTAAGGCCTTTATTTTGAATGTGAAGAATTTTAAATTTGTCATTAAAAGAATGATTATGATCTAGAAGGAGAAGTGCGTATGTCGAATCTGTTTTTCTATTCTTGAAAGCTCTTTTATGTTCTGCTATTCGTTTATCAAAGTTTCTACCAGTTTGACCGATGTAAGTTTTTGGGCAGTCGCCACATTGAAGTTTGTACACACCACTATTTAAGTGTTTTTTATTTTGGCTCTTGTTATTTTTAATATATTTGCCTAGGTTGTTATTTGTTCGGAAAACTGGTGTTATTCCTTTCTTTTTTATGTGTTTGGCAATTTTTGTTGTTATTTTGCCTGTATATGTAATCGAGCAGAAGGTACTGGGTTTTTTCTCTGGTGGTGGAAAAACTAATTTCAGGGCTTTCTTGTGTAGTTTTTGATTTAACATTTTATTAATTGTTTGTTCGTTGTATCTGTTGTTTACTGCTATTTGCTTAATTATATTTAATTCTGTCTCAAAGTTGTATTTTGACATCGGAATCGGAATTAGGTTTATGAAATATGGAGAAGTCATGTTTGTTTTGAAGTCTGCTAATTTTTAAATCTAAAAAATTTATGGATTGATTTTATTCTGTTTCTATTGTAAATTTAATATGACTATGAAGTGAATTAATATACGATAAAAATTGGTCGAGTTGCCTGTTAGTTCCTGTGAAACATACCAGTACGTCATCTACGTATCTCAACCAATATAAAAACTGTTTGAATACGGGATGTTTTGAAATCTTTGTCTCTAGATGATCCATAAAAATATCTGATAGCAATGGGCTTAGAGGATTACCCATTATAAGTCCTGTACTGTTATTTGTATATATTTTATTATTAAATTCAAAGTAGCCCTGGTTTATACAAACTTTAAGAAGATGTAAAATTTCAGATGTAATTATTGGATTTGTACTATTTAGGTCTAAAAGGTTTTTTACTTGAATAAAAGTTTCTGTAGGAGGGATACTAGGAAAAAGATTTTTACGTCAAATCAAATTAATCTGGAGTTGTTAGGTAATTGAAAATGTTGTATTTTATTAACTAGTTCTATTGTATTCAATGTTCTATTGTAGCAATCAGCCGAAACAGCTGTAGTGATAAGTTTAAAATAAATTTTGTGGAAGTTTGAAAACAAAGTTTTCAGTGTTTTATAGTTACATAAAATGAATTTCCATCAAGTAACGGTCGAATCCATCAATTATTTAGTAGTGCATTTGTTTATTTCAGTAAATTCCCGAAATATGAAATGAAGATGGCACTAACTACTAAACAGTTAATAGCTTTGTTAGAAGAAGACAGATTGTGAAAATGCTGTAAAAGACATTAATCTTCTTCTTCTTCTTTCTTCTAGTATGTAGGCTTTAAAGCCTGTTTCTTTTTCAATATTAGCATCCTAAATTGTTTAAATTGTCGCACCATCTTTTTCTTGGTCTGCCAATACTTCTTCGTCCATTTGGTGACTTATCTCGTGCTATTCATACTATTCTACCATCTGCCATTCTACTGAGGTGTTCGTTCCACTCCTGTTTTCGTTTTGTTACCCATCCATTTCTGTCTTCTATATTGCATGCTCTTCTTATGTTTTCGCTTCTCTCCCTATCCAACAGACTTCTACATGATATTCGTCGGAGTATTTTCATCTCTGTTGTTTCTAGCAGTCGTCTCGTTTTAGATGTGTCAGGTCGTGTCTCCGCCGTGTATGTTAATATAGGTCTAATTGCTGCTTTAAAGACTCTTGTTTTTGTGTCTTGTGTTAGGTGTTTGTTCTTGCAGATTGTGTCATTAAGAGAACCCGCCACTGTACTTGATTTTAAGCTTTGCTGTCGTACTTCCTCAACATCTCCGAAACTAGTTGTATCTATTCCCAGATATCTAAACCTTGCTTCCTGATTTATTATTTTCCCATCAATTTCGATTTTACACCGTAGTAGGTATTTAGATGTTGTCATACATTTGGATTTTTTGCTGATATTATCATATTGTATTTCTTAGCTGTTGTATTGAAGATATGTGTTATTCTTTTGAGCTCGTCTTCTGTCTTGGCGATTAATGCAGCGTCGTCTGCATAACATAATATTTGGATTTCTTTGTTCCCCATTCTGTAGCCATGACCTTTACGTACTGCTTGTATTATTTCGTCCATTATTATATTAAAGAGACGTAGGCTCCATTTTCCATCTTTGCCTGTATTCGATTATGTATATTATTGATTGGTATGTTTCTTTTATACAGTAGGTGTAGTAGTGTAGTGTGCGTCTTCGACTTGGAAAGCCTTTGTCAGGTCTATAAACCATAGATATGCTGGTTTATTGTACTCGGTGGCCGTTTCTGTGATTTGTCTTAGTACAAATACGTCGTCTACGCAGGATCTTCCGGATCTGAATCATTGGTGTTCATCTGATAAAGTTGTTAGTTTATTGATTTTGTTGGTTAGAACTTTTGTGATAAGTTTAAGTGCGCTGTTCAGTAGATTTGTACCTTAAAATTGTTGGGGTCTTCTTTATCTTCTTTCTTGAACATTGGTATCATTATGCTGTTTTTCCATGCGTCTGGTATCTTTCAGTACAATATTAGTTTTTGTATAAGTTTTGTCATCTCTAGGGTTATTCTTTCTTCTCCGTATTTTAGAAGCTCGTTGGTTATTCCAACTGGTCCTGGTGACTTTCTATTTTTGAGTAAATTTATGACTATTTCTACTTCCTGAAAACTGTTGACGAATTGTTGACTTTCCACATGGGTTGGTTGAGGGTGAACAATTACTAAGGTGGTGATAAATTCGTAAAAACCTTGCAGAACACTGTGTTATTTCAAAAATAATTTGTATTATTTCCGCTAGCTCGAATATTTTCGAAAGTTTTCAAATAAGATTCGTTTAGGGGTGAAAAATTGTAAAGGCGATCAACGTTTAGTCTGAACTTAAAGAACACTTTTTTATTTCAGTTATAAGTAGAGGAGAGTGAAAGTGTAAAAGAATATTTTTTCATCTTAAATTTTAACCTCACAGTATTATTGGCTTAGCATAAGAGGCAGTTAAGGGGTGAATAATTACTAGTACCATATTTTTTTCTAATTTCGCTGGCTTAAATATTAAGCTAGCAGGAACGTTCCAAAATAATATTGGTATAGGGTGTAAGATTTTTAAGGTGGTTAAAGTTTAGTAAATATTTAAGAAGTGTTTTTTTATTTCAGTTATAAGTAGAAAAGTGTGAATTTGAAAAAAAAAGGTAATATTAAATTCATAAAAATCTAGCAGATCACTGTGGTATATCATAAATATTATTTTTGGAATTCTACTAGTTTTAACCGTAAGCCGTAAAATCGCTCCTCTTAAGGGTGGTTTGGTGATTAAAAAATATTAGGATGGTAATAAATTAGTGAAAAATGGGTAAAAAAACATGCCATTGGCAAAAAGGTTTTTTTTTCTAAATTCTGCTAGCTTTTACCTTAAGCCAGCAGAATCGCTCCAATTAAGGGTGGTTTGGTGGTGAAAAATTATAAGGGTGGTAATAAATTAGTGAAAAATGGAGGAAAATATATGCCATAATGTAATGTAAACATAGCAAGAAAATAAAGAATAGAAAAAATAAGGGCTAAGCAGCATAGAGAAGATAATAATTATTCAAAATAATTATTATATATTCCAAATTAAATAAAGAATAAATTCGATACAGTAACGTATACATGTTAATCTATACAACGAAAAACAATTTGACCCAGTTAGTTGCATGACACGAGCCAGTATCAGTTGCAACAATTGTTGAAAAAAGAAAATAGTCACGTTTTAATAAATATAAACCTGCGCTGGAAAATATCACCAGCGCCGACCTGGTTTAAATCATGAGGACTCAGCAAAAACTCGACCTTGGTACTACAATCGGCATTTGAGAATACGAGCTCAACAAAAACAAAAAGAACGGAGGAGGCCGGGTCAGTCAATAATAGTTGGGCATCGTGACTGCCCGCTCAGGCAGTGATTGCCGGCTCAGGGTCGGAGGCGGTAGCGTCCAGGCAGTCAGTATTACGGCGAGGAGCTGTCGCGACGATAGGCGACTCCAGGTACGGTGAACGCGCAATTGTTATATTTTGCCGTGAGATAGTTCGTAAAAAAGTGTCGGCTACCGGGCGAGTGAAAGGTTCATGCCAGAGCGCGGTATCTCCACAAAAGAAATCCGATTTCCAGAGAAACTGAAGAGCGTATCATTAGCTAGAGCCTAAATACGCGAAAGGTAACAAAATTCCATATATTAACCCGAGTAAATTATAGTAGTACAGATTGTCACCCCTTTACTTTCTTGCTAAGATCTCTTCTCGTCTCCCTTCGCGCCGAACGAGTTATTATTGATTATCTCTGACAGCTTGTTAACTTAATTGTAAACCACATAGTATATTCAATACATATGTAGACTCTAAATTTGGTTTTTATGTTCCTTCCGGCCGATTTAGACAGAGACCTGGAGAGTACCAAATTTCGGCTTATACATTTATCCAGCTTCTAAAGTTAGCCCATAGATCTGATTTAGACAATAGGGGATAAAACCTTCCCGCAAGTTGTACAGTTGTACAGTGGTGACAGCGAAGCGCCCCAGTACTTGTACATTTGGTGACAGCGGAGTGCCCCAGTACATTACAATAAGCAAAAAGTTTTTTTTCCGAATTCTGCCAGCTTAAACCTAAAGCCAGCTGAATCGCTTCTCTTAAGGTTGGTTTGGTGGTAAAAAATTATTAGGGTGATAATAAATTAGTGAAAAATTGGTGAAAAAATATTACGTAGGTTAAATTGGACTCCGCTCATTTGTTTTTGCTAGCTTAAGGGTCCTACAAATCTTGTTCCTCTTCTTATGTTTATGCCCTTTGCCCTTCATTCTTCTTCTTAACGTGCCCTATCAAGTCCCCATGACGTTGGCGATTGACATGGCGAAACTGTCTCTGTCTCGAGCTATTCTAAATAGTTGCTCAACTTTCTGTATTCCTGTCCACTCCCTGATATTCTTCAACCAAGAGGCCTGCTTTCTACCAATTCCTCTGCGTCCTTTGACTTTACCCATCATAATAAGTTGAAGAATATTATATCGGTCTCCCCTTACTACGTGTCCAAAATAGGCCATCTTTCTATATTTGATGTTATCAAGCAGCTCGCGAGCAGCATTTGCTCTCTCAAGGACTGCCACATTTGTCAGCATAGCCGTCCATGGAATTTTTAGTATACGTCTGTGCAGCCACATTTCAAAGGCCTCCAGACGATTAATGGTGGATATTTTTAATGTCCATGCTTCGATACCATATAAGAGGACTGACCAAATGTAGCATTTAACCATGCGCTTTCGAAGTTGAAGTTGCAAGTTATCATTACAGAAGAATGACCTCATTTTTAAAAATGTCGTGCGGGCTATCTCGATTCTACATTTTATCTCTTGATCTGGATCTAGTTGTTCAGTAATATGGCAACCAAGATATTTAAAACTGGACACTCTTTAAATTATATGACCATCAACATATAATCGTGCATCTTGATGTGCTAAACGGCTAAACACCATGTGTTTTGTTTTTGCACAGTTTATGTTTAGGCCAAACTCTCTTCCCACTGTATCAATGGCATTTAAAAGGCATTGTAATCCATTCAGGTCATACAACCTTAAAACTTGATTCGTAGGCTCTTCTTGGTTGTCAAGAAAAACAGAATTAAATTTCAGACAAACAGAAAAAGTCTAGAGTTTTAAAACTTATTGTTTATGTTCAGTAAGTATGACTATTTTAAATTTATTTTGGGATTTGATAAAATTAAATATTTTTTTCAATATAAAAAATAAATAACAAAACTGTCTATAAAAGTTTTCTACTATTTGTAATGAACTTACCTGGTAAAAATCAAATAAATTCATTTTGGTTAACTGCTTAATTCTCTTCAATAAGTCGTTTTCTACATGTTTTACTTGTAAAACTAAAGTTTTTAAATTATTTATTAAAATCAAATTCGCGTTAGCATACTCAGTGATTCCCAACGAAGACCATTTTATTCTCATTAAGCCTGGTTGGATATTTAATTCTATTTCTCGCATTTTTTCTTTTAAAAGATGCATCTAAAAGGCAGAAATTATATATGATTCGATATATAAATGTATAATATTATCTTTACTTAAAATGATGAGTACAATAGATGACTTGCCGATTTTTTAATTTTATATATTGTTTTTTTTCTCACTCTATGAATTAAAATATTAATTATCCAAGAAGTTTATTTTGTAAACTAGTATAGCATTTTTTATTTAATTTTAAAGATTTGACAATTTTAAAGATTGATTTATTTAAAAAAGTTGTGAAAAATTAGTTTTATGTACTTTTATAGAACTTTTACAGAATCTTTTAACTATTTAAGTAATTCAGAAATTTAACTTTTGCCGCCCTAAACTTTTAAAATATCATTTAGAAATTGTTAGGTAATATTATCAACATACCTGAGCGTTGGTCAATTTATATAAAATCGAATTGTAATTGTTAATCATTAATGTTACTGCATTGACATTAATTTGAGTTTTTTCTTTCTTTATAGCTATCAATCTAACATTTTCCGGAAGCATAAATTTCATTGTTTCCAATAGTTCCACGCTCTTGAAACAAGCCCATAATTCATCATCAAAGTTTATTTCAAATTGAAGACCTGAAATATATAAAAAACAGTTACTTTCGGTTTAAAGTTGATAGATAATAAAATTAAAATAATTAAAAAAGGAGTCAATAAATGAAAGACCAAGTTGAAAAAAAATATAACTTTTATAGGTAAGTAAAGGTATATTGGTGATACAAGTAATTTGGTGATAATTTTTAATCAGATTACCACACAGTTAGCTATGCAAGCACATTCATGACACGGCGCTAGTAAGTTGCTACGAGTGTAAGCAGGACAAACATATATTCCGATTTAGCGATGCGCGCACCTGCGTTTAAAACAGACTGTTTTGACCATTGTGTGATAGTGGAGTCATTTCTTATTGAATGTGAAAGACTGTTACATATTTGGTTACATCTTTATTGGAATAATTGCTGTTTTCTTTATAAAACTTTATAAAACCATTCAATAAACTAATATTCCTTAATTAATTAATTAATATTCCTAATTTTATTCCTTAAATTGCGGTTGTTTTTTCTTAGTGTTTTTGCTCAAATTTTTCAAGAACTTTTGAGACGTTAACTTTGGATATTATTTGTTCTTTGATTTAAAATAAAATAGAGAAGTGTAGTATACAATGCAAAAGGTATTGTTTTGAGGAATCCGTAAATGTATTTTATTTTTAAAGGCTGTTAACTTTTTTTTATCGCCAAATTACCTATACAAGATTCCGATATCACCTATTTAATTTTTACTTTTAGATTGGCAATGGAAAAAGAGGGTAAATATAGAAAATATAGTCAACAGCAACTTCAAAACGCTATCAGATTAGTAAGAAATAAAGGTAAGACTACATATAAAGCTGCAAAAGAAGTAGAAGTCCCATGGAGCACTTTGAAACGTTACCTAGCCAATGAAGAGGATTGGAAGCGGTAATAAAACTGGGGAGGCCTTTTGCAGAGTTGAAGCTTTACAATTATATTACAGAAATGCAACAATTGGGTTTTGGACTAACCGTGTATCAAATTAGAAAATATGCTTATGATCTTGCTAAAGTGGATGGTCGGGAGAAATTCTTGCCGTCAACTAACTGCATTGCAAGCAAATGGTGGTGGAATAGTTTTAAAAGTAAGTACAACGTGTGCCTTCGTGTGCCAAAAAATCTTTCGGCCTACAGAGTTTCCATGGCTAATGAATTTATGATCAAAGATTTGTTTTCGAAACTGAATGATGTTCTTACGAAACTCAATATAAAAGACAAACCGAATTTAATTTAGAATTGCGATGAGACTGGATTATTGTATGTAGTGAAACCTTCCAAAGTTGTTACCGGTATTGGTAAAAAATATGTTTATAAAAGTTCCTACGCTGAACGAGGTCAAACTCAAACTATGTTAGCATGTATTTGTGCTGATGTAAAATGGATTCCTCCTATGAGAATCTTTAAAGGTATTAGATGGAATGATATACTAAAAAATGATGCCCTTCCCAACACATTAATACAATTATCTTCTAAAGAATGGATCAATTCTGAATTGTTTTTGGAATGGTTAAATTTTTTTATCACTACAATACCGCCTGAACGTCCTGCAGTCTTGTTGATGGACTCTTATTCTGCCCACATTGGAGCTGAAGTTTTGAAAATAGCGAAAGATAATCAAGTTTATCCATTTACTTTCCCAGCTCATTGCACTCGTCTATTGCAACCACTTGACGTGGGACTATTCGAGCCACTCAAGACTTACTAGCGCAATAGCATGTATCGTTATATGAGCAATAACCCTTTACAAAGAAAAACATTGAGAATGCTTTTAAAAAAACAGGCATATGTCCTTTAAACGGAGATGTTATCCAAAAGAAGTATTACGGCCTTCACCGTTAACTTACATAGCTCCTGCTTCTCCAGTTTCAACACCTAAAACTTCTATTTTAAATCCTAAAGCCCCAGTTGATCATATTTTTAAAATACCAACAGCTTAAAAACGTCCAGAGAGGTCAAGAAAAAGGGACTCAAGTGAGAAATGCTTAACACCGACAAATGAAAACACTTCAGTAACAGAAAATCTACAGCAATTGCCCTCGACTTCATACAAATCTATCCAAAACGCAAAAAAAGTAAAATAGATGATTGGAAGTGTGGCTTATGTGGAGTCATGTATTCAACTGATGTTAAGAAAAGAAATGCGGCCTAATGGATTCAGTGCTCATCTTATTTGAAACCATACGACGAGATTTGCATATCTATCGAAGATACTGACGCCGATGAAAAACTTTATTATAGATGTGATCGTTGTATGGAACAAAATTTTTAAATATCTGATTAAATATACAATTTCCATAATATCACCAAATTTCCTAACCACTATCACCAATATACCTTACCGTGTCACCAACTTACCTAACATAAGCCTAAGTTTGTATGTCAATTTGACATTTACTATCATTATTAATCATTTTTTGTTAAATTAACTCTTCTAAACATTTACCTTAAATAATAAGTACCGTAAAACGGGGTTACTTAAGTCTACAGGGTAACAAAAGCCATTTTGCATGGTAAATTTCGAGCGCCCATGTTGACAACACTGTTTGCAGCATTCTAGATGTTTATGTGTAAGTGTGTTAACAATCGTTTAAACTTTAAGCTGCTGGAATACAACATTTATTCACATTAAAAGATAAGCCTAGCAATTTATTATTATTTAGAGGTAATTTGTATTGAAATTTCATAGCTTTTTAAACTTTTTCCGTCCAGCCCAGTCCGTTTTCTTTCAAGCTTAATAACTGTCTTAAAATATAACCCTAGTTATCATTGTAGACCATGCTTTAATTCATTCTCCATATTTAAGGTTAGTTGTTTTTGTTTATTGTTCTTTTACAGCTGTGTTGACTACGGGGTAACAAAAGCCAGTTGCTTTTGTTACCCCGTAATGAAAAACATACTACATGAAAGTAAAAATCATAAAGTTACAGCAATTTTCTTTGTTTCAGACCACAATACCTATGCCACGAACTTATCACTGGCCCCTTGGGGCTCGAAAGTATAAGGACTATTCGGATGAAAAGCTCGCTTCAGCGGTAAAAGCAGTGAAGGATGATGGACTTTCTTTGAGGAAAGTTGCTGAACAGTATGGAATTTCACGATGTGCTCTTACAGTAGCAGTGAAAGGGAAACGTAATAAGGTAGGAAGACCTTGTATTTTAAGTCCTGTTACAGAAAACCAGCTGGTAGAATGTGTAACATTGGCTGGAAAATGGGGATTCCCGCTAACAACCTTTGATATTCGACTGATTGTGAAAGGATTTCTAGATCGCCGTGGCCGAACAGAAAAAAGGCTTAAACACAATATGCCTGGTATTGACTTTGTGGATTTATTTATGAAAAGACATGACAAAGAACTTTCTAATAGGCTTTGTCAAAATGTAAAAAGAAGTAGAGCTGCTGTCAATGAGACAATTCTCAATAATTATTTTGACGAACTCACAACATCACTTGAAGGAGTTGAACCAAGTATAATAGTTAACTATGACGAGACGAATATAACTGATGATCCGGGTAGAAAGAAGAGTTACACGTCATCCTGAGCGAATCGTTGATTCTTTCAAGGCAAGTACATATGTCATGTTTTCAGGGAGTGCATCTGTCATGTTTTCAGGGAGTGCAGATGGAAAATTACTTCCACCATACATAACGTACAAGGCACTAAATCTTTACGACTCATGGACTGAGAATGGTCCTAAGAGAGCAGTTTATAATAGGTCAAAGAGTGGATGGTTCACGCTAGAAATTTTTGAAGACTGGTTCAGAAAAATAGTTATTCCATACTTCAAGAAGTTTGACAAAGATGCTGTTAAGGTAATAATAGGGGACAACCTAGCAAGCCACATGTCACTAGATATTATTAATGAATGCAAGATGAAGAACATCAAGTTTGTGCTTCTGCCAGCGAACAGTACCCATTTTACTCAGCCTCTTGATGTATCTTTTTTTAGGCCACTGAAAATAAAGTGGCGCCAAACATTAAGTGACTGGAAAGAGAAGAATCGTGGTACAATACCTAAGGATACATTCCCAAGACTATTGAAGAAGTGTATTGATGACATGGGTGAATAGAACATAGCAAAAAACTTGATAAGTGGTTTTAAAGGTTCAGCAATTTCACCTCTTGACAGGGAGCAAGTACTTAAGAGGCTTCCTAGTAGATCTAAGGAGAACGAAAGAGAAACCCTAAATGACTATGGAAACACTTGGGCTGCAACTTTACAATCCTTCCTTGAAAAAAACAGAGTTGAAGATACTACACAATCAGCCAAAGAAAAAAAAATTAAATGTACCACCTGGTGTAGGTGTACAGCCGGATGATATGAAGGACTCGATTGATAACCCTGCAGAGCAACAGCCAAGTACTTCAAAGCAAACTCAAGAGAAAACCCGTGTTTTAAAAAGAGCCAGAAAGGACAGTTCTGATTCTGGTGACAATGATGAAGTATTCTCACTGCAAGATTCAGATGCTGAACTTGTTTTAAGTGACTTCACTGATGACAATTTTGAGGAACCCGAACCTAAGAACGTCTATAAGAAAGCCACGAGGACCACAGTGAAATGGGAGGAGATTACTGGCAAATCAGCTATATTTGTAATTGTTGAACTGCTATTTGATGAGGGAACCAAAAAAGAAGCTGTAAAGCAGTTTTATGCAAAAGTGTTAAATACATCACCAGAAACAAATGAAGTGTCAGTTAGTTTCTTAAGAAAAAGTACGAAAACTGCTGGGACTGCTTTTGTCTTCTTTCTTATTTTTGTGCCACTCCTATCGGAGATTGGAAATCATCAAGGCTATTCTGACCTTGTTTACGGCTGACCTAAAGAGTTCATTACTGGTGCAGCCAAACCACTCTCTCAAATTCCGCAACCATGACATTATTCTACGGCCTGGATTCCGTTTTCCTTCTATTTTTCCCTGCATTATATTTTGAAGTAATGCGTATTTATGTCCTTTCATCTTACTGTTTTTGTATTTCCTTACAATGCTGATGAAATGGATGTAAATATATCACAAATTGTTAAAGTTGTTCACCCTATAAATGTAAAGCGTGGGCACTACACTTTTTTGTATGAGTTAAATTGATTATTTAATCTTCAAAAACTTTAAAACATATAATAATAATAGTAATTAAAGTTTTTCCAATTAAATTTATTTTTTTTAAATATAAGTATTGTTTATTTTAGCCATGTGTACGGATTTAGTTACCCCAGGAGTGTTTAACTTACGCCACACATTTATCTATCATGCCTGGTTTTTCATACCCCATTCCAAGGGAAAACTTAGGCCACTATGTTTTAAATTTTTTTGACAGGTAAAAAATTTTTTTAACTCTTTTTTTGGTATTAAACAATAAATTTAGATATAGACCCACGTTTTTACCAAGTTTTAAATCCCTAAAGTGATTGGTCTAGATTTGAAAGGTGTTTGAATTTCAAAAGTGGCCTAAGTAACCCCGTATTACGGTAACGTAATAAAGTAAAACTTATTTCTTGCTTAGTTTTCGAATTCCTATATTATTAGTATTTTTCATTTTTATCATCATTATACCTTTCCTTACCCTACTAGTTATACTCCATTATGGTGATGAAAATTGCGACTAGCTCCATTGACAAACCAAAACAAGTAAATAAAAAAGATAATCTTGATCAGATAAGTAGATCCTCAAAAAACAGGCTAAACGTGATGTTTGATTTTTTCTAAACCAAATATCTGGTTCCAACCACGTAATTCTGAAAATATCGTGGACAACACACACGACCATCGAGAATGTGTTTGGAACAATGAATACAGAGAGAAGAAAACTGCTAAACATAATTGAATCAGCGAGAATAAGATAGTTAAAAGTACAGATATTACAATTTTGAGAAAACGAAAATATCTGTCTGTTGAGTTAGTTAGATAGAGTATGTCTAAATTGTCAATATAAGTAAGGCAGAAAAAAATTAACTATTTATTTCTGCCTTGGAATAATTTTTCTATTTCCCAGTAACAAAAAAACAAAATTATTTATGTAATTTGTATTTTGAGAACGAGCTTTGAGGTGCAAATCGAAACATTAAATATAACGTATTTTTAATTAGAAGTGTGATTATTTTATTCCTATAAAATCCGCTAGTAAATATAAAAATGTCATAAAAATAATAGAACAGTAGTCTCAGAACTTTTACTTAAGACAAGAATGGTTTTTATTTTAGATTATTTCACAAAATAAACCCAAAAGTTACAGTCTGATCCAACTTTAGCCAGTATAATAGAGCAGCGTTACTCAAAGTGTGTTTGCAAGCCATTTGTATTATACTGTAAGTAAACGCCCGGTCTATATCATCGAAATACTACACATACGCCACCATTCGCACCTGACCTATCATCAATCGAACGACTTCTGTTTGTCGCGCTACTTCTCGTAGTTTGGAGTATAATATTTAATTAGAATTATTTGGTGAACAGAATTTATTAACCACTCGCAAAATTCACTCGCATCATGCCCGGTATTTTATGATCGCTTGTGTTGTTCCTAGTGATTATTAAATTTTCTGTTTCGTGCGTGAAGAGATTCTATTTATACACTTTTGAAAACGGTAGAGGACACAGATATATGATAGACTATATTCTGTTGAATAGAGAATTACATCCCTCTCAAATTTAGGATATAAGAGTGCAAAATTCCAAATGAAAACACATATGTGATAACCAAACAATACACCACAAAGATTAAAGTCGAAAGCTTACAGGATGACTCCACAAGATTTCTATTTCAAAAAATATTAACTGAAAAAAGCAGAAATACATTAATCATAGAAAGTGATGGAGTCGAAGAAAGCTGGGCAAATATTAAGTCTACTATCTTAGCCTCGGCAAAGGAAGTTCTTGGTAAAAGAAATAGAAATAAAAATAAATCGTTTCCAAGAAAAAGAACTCCATAGTTTTGCACAAAAGCGAAGAAAAAATGTAAAGAAAAGAAAAAAGCTTACCTAAAATACATGGCATAATATAATTACAAGACAATTAGAAACGAAACACATGCACTTGTAAGAAAAATAAAAAAATGATCACTGGGAACGCTTTTTAAAAGAAATGAAACATGATTTTTACAAAATAAATTTTGCAAACGGAAATATGGCGCTTCATAAGAGGTCACAGAACGGAGGTAAAGGAACTAATAGAACCAAAACACATACAAAAGATACGTAGATTGACTACCTAAAAAGGCTATATGCGGAGGAAGAACAAACGACGCTAGAAACGGAAATACCAGAATTATCACAAATGAAGAACTTAATACTTATAAATGTACAGGAAGTTTGGAAACTACTTGAAACCCTGAAACAGAAAAACAGCAGTCAAGACGGGAGTTACTGAAATAATATGGAGCAGCAATTACAGAACAATTAACAACATCAATTGATGAAGAACGAACGAACTATTTATTTTATTCAAAAAAGATAAAAAAGAGATAAAAAACAGCCAGAAAACTACAGAGGTATAAACTTGTTAAAAACTACGATAAAACATACAACTAGAATTTTACAAGTGCTAATATATCAGAGGATAAGTTTAGCAGATGAACAACGGGGTTTTCTAGAGTATAATAGACTAGCATTTTGTGTCTGATTGACCTAAAGAAAGCGTTTGACAAAGTAAGACTCAAAGATGGAATATATTATATATATATATATATATATATATATATATATATATATATATATAAAATGTTCGGAAAGATTTCCGCGGTTAGTACAATAAAACTTAGAGCTAAGATTAATATTATTACTAAAATTAATATTAAACTCACCAGTCTTCCGGGTTGAACCGCGTCGTAATCCATTTTGCCAAGCTTTCGGCATCCTCTTTGATGCCTTCCTCAGGGCTTCCGAGGTCTCAGTCTCCCGAGCCCCCAGACACTACTGCACTGTTCACTATTCACTTCACGATCACTACTGTGATCAGTCCAGACACTAGTGAACAGTGCAGTAGTGTCTGGGGGCTCGGGAGACTGAGACCTCGGAAGCCCTGAGGAAGGCATCAAAGAGGATGCCGAAAGCTTGGCAAAATGGATTACGACGCGGTTCAACCCGGAAGACTGGTGAGTTTAATATTAATTTTAGTAATAATATTAATCTTAGCTCTAAGTGTTATATATATATATATATATATATATATATATATATATATATATATATATATATAATATATATATAATACAGCATCCAACTTGTAAATACAATACATTTTGGAGACGGCTATCGCCGTATTCCCATTCTCCTCCGACAATTCTCGCAGTCCAAGGCGTGCTCCTCCACACCTCTCGATTCCATCGCTTTTCTAATTCCTTTATTCCATATGCGTCGAGGTCTACCTCTTTTTCTTCCTCCAGGGAGCGTTCTTCTGTTAAGTTTTGGGGGCCAACGTTCGTCAGGCATTCTCAATCGGTGTCCAAACCAAGTATTATTAGTATATTAATAAGTACTCTTTTGGGATTTTTATGAATTAAATAATTATATTAATATCTGACCACATGACCAAGGAACATGACTACCACGAACGATCAATAAAAAGAAAATAGATATTTTTATAATTGTTTTAATCAACAATTATTATAACTATAGATAAATAATATAATATTAGAAATAGATAGGCAACTCAATGCATAAATTTCGTTCATTAGGACCCCTTACGGGTTGTGATTACTAATCATCTTTTGGAGGGAAATTCAAATGGACACCCCTTACATACATACCCTTTAGCGCCTCTTGCGGGATATTTCGTTACTACTACTAGATAAAACAATTATAAACTAATTACATAATATTTATTACACATATTTTCAGAAACAAAATGTTAAATACTGTTATTGTTTGCTTCCTGAAAACTTACTATTTGACAATTTACTATTATCATCCTGTTTGTAATTGTTCCATGATTTGTACATAACGGAGCAATACAATAATTCACCATGTTTAGTTTTTTTACCAGCACAACACAAAAATTCTTTGCTACACTAGGTAACTCAAACTAAACTTTAAAAAGTAAGTAACCAACTTAAATTAAAATTACTAAGAATAAATGCAAACGAAAGTTAAAGATAATGAAATAAAATTAAAAACTTGTAAACAAACGGAAGATCTGTCATTACTTTTTACAGAATTGACATTGCGTAATTAAGCTTTGTTTGATTATTTAATTGACACCCCAAGACTGTGTTAAAATAAATGATTGGTTAAAGTCTTCGTGAGAGAGATAGGCTGTCATTTCTCTTTATTAACTGCCTGGGGTCAAAGTGATGGGGGAATGTTACAAGGTCATGCATATAAGTTTCCAGGGCATGATTTTAACACCGAACGCGTAGTTTATTTGTTTATATTGTTACGATAAATATGACTCATAACCTTAAACATATTATTTCTAATCCATTCGTTTTTTCTAGATCATACACCAGCCGGCAGAAACTTCAGGTAAAAACTGACGGGTCTCCTACGATTCGAAGTTTCCAGAAGAAGGTCGAATGAAAACCAGTCCGGGTAACCTTCTCGTCTGTTCGAAGGATCGCCGAAATTATATTTTAACGGTTAATTAGTATAATATATGGGACATTTTGTGTAAACAGTTTTCAGTACGAAATAAATATTGTGAGTAGATATAAATTAAAGTAGTTGTGTTCTAGTTTTTAGTGATAAGTGTAAAACTGTAATCAATATATAAAGATTCTAAAAAACTTGTAAGTGTTATAAATGTAGAACCTTTGATAATAAATAAAGACAATAAATTAGATTATTAAAAATACTACAATATATTTTCTTACCTAAATCAGCTAAAATATAAGAACCCATAATTTCATGCCACGTTAAATTTCTCTGAGAGTTAATTCGTTCCAAAACATTTTGAACAGAGCGGCTACTGCATTTACTGGAATCTCTTCGACTCGAAGATCTTTTGCCTACTGAAACTTTAATATTTTTAAGATGAGACAAGTTCGATAGTAATTGTAAATATAGAATTACCTTTTGTTACACTGCTTCTAGCACTTGACTTGCCTACGATAGGTGGATGGCTACTAATTTTTGGTGGTTTATAAAATGTACTTTTCTTATTTGCGCTAACTACTTTTACAATATCCATTTGTAGTGCTTTTACCATTGTAACGCTAAATTTTTGAACCCAATCATCAAATTTTGCTACAAATTAAGTTTCTATTTTGTATTAAAATTATTATAAAAATACTAAATCGATAATTGAAAGTTGTTTGATTTTTAAATACCATTCTGTATAAGGTTTTAAAATACATATTACAAATCTACGAAAATACGAAAAATAACAACTTAACTAGTTCGCTAAAGTACATCCCAGAGGTACTTTTCAGTGCGTCATTAATTATGACGTCATATAATGAATTGGGTGTGTTGAGCATTATTTCATATAGTCATTGAAGAATCTGACAGATTCCAGGATTGTACTTAGCCACAGGGGGTAATCCCGTTATATAAATAAAAATAAAAAGTAAACAATATTGTTTATTAAAATTATAAATATGGAAACATTCGAAATTGACGACAAAATGATTCATTTATTGAATTTTTGTATCTTCTTCTTCTCAAGGGGCTGTCCGCGCGTCGAAAATTGGCAATCATCACAGCGATTTTTAATTTTGAGACAACGGCTCTAAATAAGTCGTTATTACATGGGTTACGTCTCCTTCCTATGGATCTTTTTCTCCGGATTTTTCCTTGCATATTGACCTGGAGTATTAGATATTTATCTCCTCTCATCATATAACCCATATATCCCACTTGTCTCCTCTTAATTGTTAGTACTTCTCTTTCCTTATGCATACGTCACATTACCTCAACGTTGGTTATTCCATCTACCCATGAGATCTCTGGTACTCTTCGGTACATCCACATCTCAAATGCCTTCAGTCTTCTCACGTGAATTTTCTTCAGTGTCCACGCTTTAATCCCGTATTATAATACGGATAGCACATAGCATCCCAACAGTCGTATTTTTTACTTTAAGTTTATACAGCAGAGAAGCCTTTGTATTCTTGTAAATGCGCTTCTGGCTAGTTGGATTCTGATTCGTATTTCATGAGAGCTGTCACTCTTTTCATTAATAGTTGTATCTAGGAATTTGAATTCTCTTACTATTTCAATACGCTGATTCTGTACATATATCTCACGAATGTCCTGAGTTGTCTTTGTTAATATCATATATTTCTTGCTCTGTTGAGTGATGGTCCACATTCTTCTTCGCTTACTGCGGTCACCTAATTAAGAAGTATCTGTAGGTATTCATGTGATTCGGCTAAAAAAACTGTATCATCAGCGTATCTTAGGTAATTTATGATCATGTCATTAATTTTAATATCTACGTTTCGTTAATCCATTGCCTTACTTAATATGTCGTCCGAGTATACCTTAAATAATACTGGTGTACGTATATACACTTGTCGAACAATTCTTTGTACTTCTATTTCTTCTGATGTTATTTCTTCTATTCTCACTACTGCTTTTTGGCCATAGTATAAGAAACACAAAAAAGACTGTTTTCAAACATTTATTAGGTAACTTCTAAATTAATTACATAAATAAAATATAATTCTAATCATAAAAACTATTTATTCACTAATGTGTAATAATAATAGTTTATTGACAACACTGAAAATACTGCCAGTGTAGAGTTTCCTTAAAGATATATCCTTAGACAAATTCATGGTAAAATATTTCGGTCATAACCTAGCAAAACATTAATTAGAGAGGAGCCAGTCAGATTTGGATATAAGAATTGGATGATAACTGGTTCCACTGGATATGATTATAGTTTTCACGTTTGTTGCGAAAAAAAATAACGAATGATATTAAAGATAATAAAAAAATACCACTTGGAGCTAAAGTAGTAATGATCTTTTGAAATATAGGCCTGAACCATCTAGAAATGAAATTAGATCAGGTCATTGGATTAGTGCCTAGGAGTTTCCTGTGTTTACAACGTTTTGAGCAGAGATAAGTATTTATAAATAAAAAAGTTTGTTCATCTAGCGGATAATGTCAAAATAGGCGATTCTACAGTTTGTATGTACAAAATTAGACTTTTAGCAGATAAAATTATAGAAAAATACTGCTAGTGGGGATGTTTCCATAAAGATATTTTTTTACACAAATCCATGGTAAAATATTTTGGTCACAACCGAGCTAAACAGTTTATTAGAGAGAAGCCAGTCAGATGTAATGTAATTTTCAACTTACTTCACAAACAGCAGAAATTGGTAATAATGTTTGTCCAGTTTCCTTTTCCAATTGAAAATATTTAAGCAATTTTAATATTAGAACTTGTTCTTTTTCCGTAAAACTTGTCATCTTGTACAAATACAAATAAAACCACAATCACAATATTATGTAAAACATAATACAAAATAAAATTATACAAAACAAATCCCAAAGAATATAAATAAAATGTATTAGAGCGTCTATATTCTTTGCAAATACTGACCTGAACGACAGCCGTCACTTGTTATTGAAACACTTCAAAAGAATGGCCAGCATGGACGAAGTTTTACGTCAACTGTTAGTAATAGGCGTATTTGATTGGCTAGAGAAAGCGCGCATCTAAATATCAACGAATGAAACGTAGGTTAGGAAAGAACCGCTTATGTATGTAAGCTTATTCTAACGCTGCAATATAGTTCTGTTTAATCACCGAACTACCGCTTTCTCCGTCACATACAACTTAATCCATTAGAAAGAAATCGAAAAACTGTGACGCACTGAAAAGTACCTCTGGGATGTTCTATACCAAGCGTCCCATATAAGAGCCACTAACAATTTTCTACTGGACTGCCGTCTCAAATATTAGCAATATATATATATATATATATATATATTATATATATATATATATATATATATATTATATATATATATATATATACATATATATATATATATATATATATATATATATATATATACATATATATATATATATATATATATATATATATATATATATTAGCAATATTACTATTTTATTCGATTTCCGTTGTACCGTGTTTTGCTATTTTAATACATTTTATTGATTTGAATCGCTGTTTTGGTGTTTATATGTGTCGTGTTATCAAAGAGGGGTTACAAATAATAATCGTTACTTCACAACATCAGTTTATTCTCAACCCTCAAACATACATGCTTGCCCGAGCTTCGGCTACGTTCACATGACATCCCTGTCATCCGTGTTGCCTAACTCCGGCGCCTATATCTTAATCTAAGCTAACAACACATCTCCTTTTTTTTATAAAAGATCCCTGTGTCATTAATGATCTTATACCTAAACTAACTTAAACTACTACAAACATAATCTGTTAAATGAACCGGTTTCTTCACAAGTCTTTTTGGCCTGCTAGGCTTTACGCACTCAAAGTCCGATACACTATCGCTTTTATCCTGACCCGATGGAGGTAAAACATGATTTCCACTTTGTTCGATTTTGTCCTGAAATACACTGGGTTCCCCCCTACTACTTTCCTCCATTATTTTACCCTGTATGTCACCATTGCTTTGATTAGAGCAAGGCATTAGCTTTGTGCTACTAGAAATTGGCGGAACATAATCATTTGAGGATTCTGGTTGGGTGCTCAATACAGGGAAACAGTAGGGTGCATGAATCAAATGCCATCTATTTCTTCTAAATTTCCCGGTTTCAGTTTCAATTATATAGGACCTGGGTTCCTGACAGATCGCAACAACTCGCCCATATTTCCTGGTATCAACCACCCACACAGAATCACCAACCTTAAGAGGATCTAAATCCTTGGCATTGTGTCGCTTATTGTAGTTTTTCACTTGTTTATCCTTTATTTCATTCTTTTTATTTTTAGTGTTTGGTTCTTTTGAAAAGTTTAATAAGCTTGGAAGCTGGGGTAAGTTAGATCTTAATTTTCTATTCATTAATAATTCAGAAGGTGAAACACCACATTCTAGGGGTGTACATCTATATGCTAACAATGCCAAACTTAGGTCCTCTTTTTTATTTTTCTGAATTAATCTTTTTGCAATTTGTACAGTGCGTTCCACTCCACCGTTGCTCTGAGGCCAGTGCGGACTGCTCGTCGTATGAACAAAATTATATTCTTTTGAAAACTTTATAAATTTTGATGAAAATTGAGTACCACAGTCGGATCTAACTTCCTCTGGGATACCATAACGAGAGAAAATATCTTTAAGCTTAGGAATAATGGCATCTTCTGTCATATTGGTTAAAGTAAAAATTTCAAACCAATGTGAAAAGTAGTCAGTGGCAATCAAATACCACTTATCATAACATTTAAACAAATCAACCCCCAGTTTTTGCCACGGCCTTTGTACAGTATTGTCTTTATGAAATGTTTCTCTATGATTTACTCTGTGTTCAACACATTGGGGACAATGTGTGACAAGGTTATTAATCTGGGATGACAAACCCAGCCACCAAACGCTCTGTTTGGCACGATCTCGACATTTTACAATTCCCATATGGCCTGTATGAATAAATTCCAACACCTTGAGTTGAAGACTCTTAGGAATGATTATGCGAGACCCTTTTAAAAGTAATTGTTCCGAATAGGAAATTTCATATCTATATTGATAGTATGGCAACAATTCAAATGGCAATTTAGATCTTTCAGGCCAAGAAGACAAAGAATATTCTTTTAGTTTTTTACAAATATATTCATTTTCTTGTTCTGTTTTTATTAAATTCAAAAAATAATCTTTAATTGGTAAATTATGCATAATTGACTGCACATATGCTGCAGTTTCAGCAGTTAGTTCTTTATTAGCTAACGTATCTGTTTGTAAAGGGGCCCGACTTAAAGTATCTGCTACAATTAAATTTTTTCCCGGCGTGTAGATTACAGTATACTTGTATCGCATTAAACGCATTCGAAATCTTTGCAAACGTGGCGTTAACTCATCTAAATTTTTAGTTTGCAGAATTTGTAGTAAAGGTTTATGGTCTGTTTCAAAAATTAGGTTAGGAACTCCTGAAATAAAATCATAAAAATATTCTGCTGCCCATGTAAGTGCAAGAGCTTCTTTCTCAATCTGAGCGTATCGTGTTTCAGCTGAGTTCAGAAGCCTAGATGTAAAAGCCACTATTTCCCGAGT